AGCTGATTTCACAAAGCAAAAATATTGACGAACTTTTTTTAAATGGCTTTTAGTTTTGAAGTGAAATCGGTTAAAAAATCAGTGAATACCTAAAAGATCTCAAGAGACACTGTTTCATATCTCAGGATCAGGATAACGGCGATCTCAAACTGTCCCCTACCATATATTAAGGATGTCGCTTCCTCAGCTCAGGATTCCAGTGGCACACAAACCAATGAAGCCACTGTACTACATATTGTCCAGGTCTCAGGATTCGTTGTCAAAGGAAAACGGGACAAGTATGATGTATACAGCCAACTGTAAACATTGTCGGCAACACTCTAATGACCACCAGATTGCTCAGAGAATTCACAAACACTGACTGACAGTAAAGTAACACTGCAACCTACTCGGCTTCAATGAATGTGGCCAACAATGATCACAAATTCAACAAATTTAAAAGCTGCAAGACAATTTCTCGAAGTATGGTAATCCGATGATAAGTCACCCGGTAGATACAAAGATATAGGCTCAATTTACAATCTACTCAGGAAGAAAGTAGTCATTTATTATACAAGTGCAAATTACTAAAACAAGTAGGACAATTTCACTCCAACAAACACTCTTTAACGGGGTGTGATTGAATGAGATTTAAGGTCATAGAGGTCAAGGTGTAATAAAACATCTCTTCCCCAATATTTAACTGGACAACACTCAAGTTCAGCATAACACTACCTAGACATTTATGTAACCTCCTGATGTGCCTCACTTCTTTATAAAGCTATTGCTGAGAATGCCTGAAGATAAAACAATCACGACAAAATATCATAGCGCAGAGAAAAATAGACTATCCTCACAGCGTCCCAGTTTCAGGTTTCTCAGTAGTGCATGTCCTTAAGCACTTAGTAAGCTTTACTGAGAATATAACTGAATTCACCTGATAGGCATGCTACAATCCAACTGTTCTCATAGTATCAACTGTCCAACATTTTAAAATTTCAATTGATCTACGATACAATATGATTATTAATTATTGTACTCAGGGAGTTTGTGTTCGTGATTCAAATTCCACTAACAAAAATTCCAATGAAGTTACTTTTCGATAGAATTAATGGATATCAAGTTGTATTCATCAGGGACTGTTATTAGCAGAAGGACTATTGGAAAACTAAGAGTAATTGAAAGCTATTTCGTACTAGTTTGAGGCTTCTCAAAAATTAGCGGTCACGGTCACGTGAGGCATTCGGTTCGGTGGCTGCATGGTAACGTACTTGCCATATGATCCTCTTTCTCCGATAGAATTGTGAATGCATGCATTAAGAGAAGCTCATAATTGAACGAAATGACTATCCAATACTCCTGTGTTTTCAATGGTTTTCCAACTGGTGTTAGTCTACAGTGAATACTGCTCTGAAATCACAATTAATCCCAGCAAACCTTTGAATGAATTTACAGAGTTGGGGATTTTCACTTGAGCTGATTAGTGATTTAACGAAGTTGATTCAATTCAGTTATTTTTGAGATGAAATCAAACGAAATGTGATTGGTCATGGAGTGATATAATCATGATAAAATGCACAGGTTCTGACTTTGTCCTTGAAAGAGTTGAGGATAAGGATTGGTGATGAGAAAGGAGATTTCAACAAAATAGATATCAACTGGTATTACTTGAAGATAAAATATGTCTTCAAATCGATCGATCCTTAAAAGTCACCCAAGTGATTATCTCTCGTTTCATTTATCTAATCGTCTATTAGAATGGATAGGTTTCGAAGGAAGGAAAGGTATCTGCCTATGAATTAGAAGGAGGGCTACCTCGTCAAACTTCAAAAGAAGGGAAACCTAAGTCTTTGCAAGAACTGTCACGGAATCATGATCCTGTCCACCCAAAATAAAATATTAATCAGCATCATCCTAGAGAGGCTGGCTGACTTCAGGAAGAAGAAAGCATTTGCGGATCGAATCGCAACACTACAATATACATCATCATGGAACACAGTCTAGAATGGCAGTCAGCTCTCTACCTCAACTTCATCGACTTTGAAAAGGCCTTCGACAACGTCAATCAACAAGTAATTTGGTAGGTAGGTGCTTCAACACCACGGTTTTACTGCCACAAACCTTGATCAACCTCATTCAACTGCAGCTATATACTATATGATGCTACATGTCCAGTGATTGACAGTTTAAAGCTGAGTGACGCCTTTGAAGTTGAGATAGAAGTAAGACAACGTTGCCTACTATCACTGATCATCTTCCTGATTGTTGTCGATTGGACTAGACTGGACTGGACTAGACTGAATCATGCAACAGACAATTGTGAGGAGCGAGAAGATGGGCACACGCTGGCTGAACCGATGAGAAGACGCTGGAAGATTCTGATTTCGCCAGTGACGATTTATGCCTAATGTCGCACAATCTCGAAGATCTACAGGCGAAAACCGACAAGTTGACAGAAGAGGCAGGGCAGCGAGTGAAGACGGGACTTCGTCCAGTGAATGTGGAGAAGACAGAGGTGATGTAGATACCCAACTATTGACGACGACAACAACAAGCACTAATCATCATTAACGGGAGAAACGTAGAGGAAGTTGTCTCTTTCACCTACCTATTTAGGCAGCATCTTTTCAACTGCAGGTGGCACAGGCACAGATGAGGACGTCAAATCCAGGATCGGAAAGACAGCAAGATAGCCCTTCACTAAACTGAAACCTGTGTGGAGATCTACTGCTCTGCACTGCACTCGGCGTAAAGCATGGGCAAGATCCGGATGCTCAAAACCAATGTAAGTCAAGTCAGTGTGATGGTTGAGAGACTTGGAGATTTACGAAAATCATTTCCAACGAACTACAGACATACATCAACAGCTGCCTACGTCACTCGATACTGAAGATCAGATGGCCAGAATAATAAGAATAAGCAACAACGAACATTTGGTTGCACTGTGTTCTCTGAGCTGGATTGGTTAATCGTGAAGCTTTCATTGTCTTTCTAGACGACATCATCAGCATTAACTTCATTATGAAGTGAGCTGTCAATACCTCTCCGTGAGTCATTTAGTAGCTTGCCTTGACGAAGTGGTCTGTGATTAATTCTTTCCCTTAATTTTTGTGTCATTGACTGACTGCATAGATTTTCCTGTTGGCTGTTCCTTTGAATCACCTCTGATCTCTCTGCTTCCTATCATTTTTCTCATCGGTTGATAGATTGGGTCTACGTCTATACATCTGTTGATTGCTGACTGACCTGAATGATGACGTGAAAGCTTCCTGGGATTCTCTGATATTCTTTGTGTTTCCTCTTCCCGTCCAAAATTTCTATATTGTTTAAATTGAATTCACGTTCATAATTATCCACATGGATTGAAATGAGTGATGAAATGTCATTTGTGACGTTTAGTAGCCAATCGGTGTTCATGTAGACGAAAGCGAAGACGGAGAGGGTGACCACTTTGTCCAATGTAGTGTTGACTACAGTTATTGCAGTTGATTTTTCAAATGATATTCAGTTTATCTTCTTTGGTTGTCGCATCCTTTCATCCGCGTAATAGTGTTTGCAGTGAATTTGTTGGTTGATGAATGGCCAAACCAATTCCAAGTGATCTCAGTAATCTCGTCGTGATTTCTGATATGTCCTTCATGTATGGTAGGGTGATGCGTTTGTTGATTTCTGTCGATGAATTTGTAGTTGATGATGTGGGGGATAGGCATCTCCTGATAAAGTTTCGTGGGTAGCCGTTCTTTTTCTTCGTTTCTCCGTGAAGTTGTTGTACTGCAGTGTGTTCTCATTCTTTTGAACAGAGTCTACAAGCAACTGATTTTGTGCATTGTTGGGTTTTTGCTACTGTAGTTGAGAGAGGATTTAGTCAGTGTGTGTGGGTTTCCTGTACACGTGGATTTCCAGCTTTCCGGTATTTGTTCTACTGACTAGAACATCTAGGAATTGTAGTTGGTTGTTTGACTGCTTCTCCATTGTGAATTTGATGTCATTGGAAACGTTGTTGATCAAACTATGTGTGTTTTCTATGTCATCTTTTTTTAATGATGACAAAATTGTCGTCTACATAACGAATCCAAATTTGTGGTTTAATCACAGGTAGGATGATGGCTTTTAGTCTCTTCAACAGTGCTTCTGCAATTAGTCCGGATATCGGTTATCCTACTGGAGTTCCTTTCATCTATTTGCATATCTTGCCTTTGAATTGGAAGTATGTTGTCAGATAAAGGTAGATGAGTTCCATCAGACTTGAACAGCTCACTTACTTGACAGCTCACTTCATAGTGAAGTTAGTGCTGATGATGTCATCTAGAAAGACGATGAAAGCTTCACGATTAACCAATCCAGTTCAGAGAACACAATACAACCAGGGCCAGTCACCTGAGCTACAAGTATTCTCCCGTATTTCAACAAGGAACTCTGACTGACAACGAAGCAATGAACAATCTATGACCCAACAAATATGCAGAATAAAGTGGAAATGGATTGAGGTTACACTCTGATGACCATTTGGGTTATCACGCGTTAGGCCAGGCCCTCAGGTGGAAGCCATATGGGAAATGACGAGTTGGCCGTCCGAAGGTGTCATCGAGAAGACCGTGTGAGGAAGATATGAAAACTTATGGGCAGTCGTAGAGCCAGGTTTAAAGACTACAGAGAATAGAGTGAAATGACTGTGTGCTACTATAGCCATAAGTTCCACTAGGAACCTAAAGGACAAGCATAATAACAATAAGGTGATAGTTTAATTAAACTATGGGAAGGTGTGCATGAAAGTAGGATGGAATGATTAAAGATAGATAATTTGACAAATGCTAAGTTAATAAACTGTTACTCATAGTAGGAAACAAAACAAGCTAGAAGAATGTTGTAGAATTGTTTTAGATTCCATGGATGAGAGGATATCTACAACATGGAAATTGAAGATTAGGTTACGTAGGATGGGATGCTAAGTAATTTGTTAATCCTAGATGAGGTCAAGGTAGCGGTAGCGGCAACACATGCTTCTTCTGAAGGAGTCGAATGCTATTTGGTAAGTTCCTGAGAACCTGGCAAATAATGGAAAATGACTTATTCATATCCTCCACACAGTTCTTTTAAACTACCTGCACCCACCTTTCCATTCTTTTATTAAACTATCACTTTATATTATTACATAAACCATATAATCGTCTAGATAATCAATAGTTTTGAATTGAACGCCACTAATAATTGATTCTGAAATTAACGATCAGATAAAGACTTTTTTGAATTAACTTCAATCAACCTAATAATATTACAAACAAACTGTTAACCGAAATCTCAATATACGTTCTGCATAAGTCACTAACCAATTTATCCTAAAGTGCTGAAAGTCTGATTCAGTCTCCATACTAATAACGACAATACTGTCTAGGATGATAGTTTGCAATTTGATGGATACAACACCAAAACGAACACACGCTAGTAGAGTTTAAAACTTTCCTTATGACCTTGTTTTTCCGTGCAACTTTAAAGGCCAACCTTAGCAGAAGCTGAAATAACCAATGAGATTTCTTCATTTCGACTGGGAAGGTGGTTTTTTTTCCATCAAGTACAGAGCCTTAATTGATGACTTCAACAGTTAAGAGAGTGAAGTTTAAATTCACTTGTTTTTTCCTAGTCCAACGTCTCTAAAATCGTTACATTTGTACGTGGATGCTCGCACACACACACACACACACACACACAACGTATGCATGCATCCATGCACAATCAAAGATACAAACATTCACGTACGAAAAAAAAGGCTGCTCAAAGACACCAAAAGAAGCGATCCTAATGATAAACCAATGAAAAATATTAAAAAACGAAAACAAAATATAATGGGATTACATGGAACGTGATTGTTAAAATAGAATTTGTATCCACCCGACTGATCTTTCCTTATCATTAGACACATTACAAAGTGGATGCATAAATGTTAGTTATTTCCTATTTTTGTTATGATTACTATTATTATTATTATTATTATTATCAATATTACTATTATTGTTATCGTCATCATGGTTGTAGTTCACTCACTACTAGTAGTAATGGTTATATCATTAGATGGTAAAAACAAATGTCGATCAATATAGAAAAAGTTATATAAATCGATTTTGATCAATATTTCTCTGTTACCCTAATATAAAGTAGGAAATGCTCTGGTATTTAACTTTTTTGACAGGAATTGTCACATCATTTTATGAAGTTGTTTACTGGAGCTGAGCAGTAAATGTGATGCGAATGATAAGTAAATAAATATTAATACTGAATAATGACTGAAGGTTAAGTGAAAATCTGAACTGTGGCAGGATTCGAACTGGTAACCACCGGCATATCTGTTTCACCTTCAATCATCATCCGGTATCAATACATGTTTGGTAAACGATGGTTATTTCAGCTAGTTAAACTGAAAATGAATATTATCCAACTCACTATTAGATGATGAGTTTTTCATAGTCAATTATCACCTCGTACTAGTAATAAAGCGTTAATGAAAGGTACTTTTTGACTTATCTGCAATGTTGGGCTGAGTTATTAACTAGGTAAATGTCTGAACCGATTTTTCATATAATAGATGGTATTGTTTGGTTCGTCGACTCAGGGTTGTACATTTCATTCGAGATTTGTGAGCGGAAAATAAAATAACTGATGTGATTCAAAGACATGTACACGTGTTTTATCTGTTGATAAATCAGGTCATATTACTTAAACAGGTTAGAAGTAGACTCTTTAGTTGTAAGTCCTAATCTACTAAGGTGTTCGAGACATGTTTGGTGCATATCAACTCATCATTCATCCTATTGTGCTATGTTAAAAGAAGTAGGCTTAGGTTAAAGCAAAGAGCGCTAAAAGTGGAACAAACTACTAGCTGTTAGTCTAAGCCATGTGGACAAATGTTGAATTTCAGATGATGGTCCGGTTGAAAACCAAAACACATATTTACAGATTATACATGATATGTCTCAGAACCTGTTTTTGCGGAAGACACGTACCAAGCCTTATCCTAACTGAAATATTGCTCTTCGATGTTTTCTTTAGCCATTCATTTTTATTATTTCATCTAGGCGTATGAATTTATGTTTCCCTTATTGTTTTAATTGTTATCTCTTACACTGATGTACAGCGTACTTTGCGACAGCTAGGATATTTACGCAATAAAGTCAGGTCTCACTTTGAGTATGCCTTCTTGTTTCCTCAAATTCTACGCTTTGGTATGTATGCGTCGGCTAAGAAATACAATACCAAAGTATAATCTATTTTATTGAAAAGTTTTGGGACAGAATAAATAATTCATCTCAATTATATTCATTCAAAGTAAATATATATATATACATATATGCGCGTGTGTGAGAAAGAGAGTTTATTTTTTCTGCTATCTTACTAGAGTAGGTGAAATGTAAGTACTCTAGAGAATTGGATATTACCATGTCAAATCTGGAATATGCTGTCAGGCTGAAAAGCCAACAATACTGTATTCGTAAAAGATTCAGTAACAAATAATACAACTTTTTTTACACTAAAAAAATATGATTTTTCCCACTTGAGGGATGAAGACAGGGTTGGGAAGTGGAACTGGAATGCTTAAAGTATTTGCCAATCCTCTCCCCGCCTCTCTCTCTCTCTCTCTCTCTCTGCATATATTCACCATGCCAATGCTTTTATCTACTAACTAAGAAATAAGTAGTCAACCGATTCCTACAAAAATACAATTCAAGATTAACTAGTGTCCACTCCAATAAGCTTTACATCTATTCATAAAACTGTGAAATGAACTCAAAGTGTGGACGATATTTAAGGTGTATGAAATAAATTTTATTGCTTAAAATGAAAATATTAACTCTGCTGGATTACACAGTGTTCTTGCGACCTAACTATGTCAAGTGGTTCAGTTTCACTGTATGCCCAAGTGTTAACATAAATTTGAAATTATGCATATTTTGGTATAGAAGGAGAACTTTCCTGTGTTTTCTCTTTCAAAAAAACAATAATCAGTGTAAGTAAAAGGTTATTTAGAAGGGAGAAATCACTTAGATCTTCAACTATTTCCCGGTGATAGTCATTACAAGTAACTGCAATAAAATAGTAGACTATAAGACTAAGATAAAAATGTCTAATCATATCTGAGTAGAGTATCTGCCTAAATTATTCAGTTCTGATAATAATCACCCTACAGTTGTCGAAGAGTTGATAGTGAGCTTTAATGTTACAATGATTACTGTAAATGTTACTCCGAACGACTCGAACAATACGCTAGATTGCAAAATTAGATGCATTCGTGATTTCTGGAATCAACTATTCTCCATCACTAGTGGGTCATCACAACTGGTCGGGTAAACAGAAAACTGATTATCAGTAACACTTACGCAGATAGACATGGACTGCACAGCTTTTATATATTCGTGATGATAGTGATAATTAATCCGAATGCAGCTGCAATGATAAATCTGATACTTTATCTTAACACTTTTGTAAGGAAAACATCCAAGATCAGAACTGTTCAGTCAAAGTTCAACCATGAGTTTCTCTCCAATAGGAAACATAAAACTCATGCTTTACAAAATGAAGCTAATACTAGGCACAATTAATTCACGTTAGTTTCACAGTTCGACTCTGCTAATCTGTTTATCTGTTCCCTCAGGAATAGACTCGCTATTCCTAAAAGTTCTTCACGTGTAATCGACCTGGGAATGTGACATATAGGTTCCTACATTGAAGCAGTCATGAACTAAATTCAGTCGATGACAAATTATTGTATAAGTCTTCATCTCTTCTGAGTTTTTCATAAATATATTACTTTACTATGATTCTATGATTCCTGCTGAACTGTTTACTTGATTTCAGCTCATCACCTTGAAATTGATAATTAGGGAGTTTTCAGTTGATCAGTTTGCAGATGATTTACAAAGTTCATGGGCCTGACTGACATCTCTCACCAGCTGAGTACTCTTCCAGCTACTCAGTTTTTGTTGCCCCATACTAGTGGGATGACCATCCAGTGTTTAGATCGATCTTTTTGGCTGGCAAAATCCTCAGATCAGCCTGATGGGTTTCACCATAGTTGGACAGGTGAAAAACTACTCAAGTGTTAGAAGTGTCAACATGGACGATATGGTTTGTATATCATTTGCAAATAAATCATCTTACTGTAGTATTTTAAGCACCAGGTATTTACATGCTTCAGCTTCAAGCATTTACATGGCTTTCAGTATTTATCCATATCTACCCCATTAAAAGCCTCCTTTTTCACTTTTATTCGTATAAATAAGCTATATAGATGGCCATCGTTGTCTACTATCTATGATACTGAATCTATGTAGCCAAATTCTTTTATCTGATGATTATATGTTTTGGTGACAATTATTTACAACTCAAAAATCATCCAACTGGGTCAAAGATCATTCTTCAATACCTGTAGAATTAACCAGTAGTATTCTCACTATTTCACTTCTATGAAACACTGGCAAGTGAAACAGAACAGGCTGCAGGTAAGAGAGACCTGACAACATTGTATCAAATAACCAGGTGGCTATCTGGGAAGAGATCAACGCAGACGAAACCAATAAAAGATGATGATGGAAATTTAATTATGAAAGAAGAGAAACAAAGGAAACAATGGGCCGACCACTTCAAGAAGCTCTTGAATCGACCACCTCCTGCACTTCGTCCAGAAATACCACCTACAGCCCAGTCACGGAACTACAAGTGAACATAAATCCTCCAACAAAAGTAGAAGTCCTGAACGCCATAAAGCTACTGAAATGTGGGAAAGCAGAAGGACCAGATATGATCCCGCCAGAAGCACTGAAAACAGACGCGGAGACAACAGCAGACATGCTCACGCCACTATTGCAGAAGGTGTGGAAGGAAGGGAAGGTACCTGGCCACTGATTGAAAGAAGGGCTACCTTGTCAAACTGCCGAAGAAGGGAGACCTCTGTGTTTGTAAGAACTGGCGCGGAATCACTCTCCTGTCGACCCAGAGCAAGCAAAATATTAGGCCGCATCATCCTGGAGAGGCTAAAGGATGCACTGGATTCAAAACTACGACCGGAACAGGCAGGCTTCAGGAAGTACGAATCATGTGCAGACCAAATTGTAACGCTTCTCATCATCATAGAACAGAGCATAGAATGGCAGTACACTGTACCCGTACCTCATCTTCATCGACTTTGAGAAGGCCTTTGACAGCAACGACCGAGAGGTAATTTTGAAACTGCTTCATTACTACGGAGTACCGCGAACCTTTATCCACCTCACTCAACAACTATATGAAGACGCCGCATGCCAGCCAAGTAAGCGAAGACAGGACTTCAAATGAATATAGAGAAGACAGAGGTGATGAAGATACCCAACCAACACCAACAAAACAACAAACTCGTCACCATGAACGGGAGAAACTTAAAGGAAGTAACCTCCTTCACCTATCTAGGAAGCACTGTTTCAACTACAGGTGCCACAAGCACAGACGAGGATGTCAAAGTCAGGATCGGAAAAGCAAGAGAGGCGTTCATTAGCCTGAAATCAGTGTGGAGATCTACTCCACTACACTCGGCATAAAGCGTGAACACGATCCAGATTTTCAACACCAACGTCAGTCAAGTCAGTGCTTCTGTATGGTTCAGAGAAAGGGATTTCCAATAAACTACAGACATTCATCAACAACTACCTACGCTGGCTCGTTACTGAAGATCAGATGGTTAGAATAGTTAGAATAAGCAACAAGGAGCTCTGTGAACGAACCAACCAAGAACCTATCACCCAGCAAATATGCAGTGGAAGGAAGTGGAGATGGATTGGGCATACACTGAGAAGGCCGACTGGGGACATCACGTGTCAGGCCCTCGAGTGGAATCTCCATGGGAAGCGACGAGTTGGGTGTCCGTGGTGAGAGTGACATGGTGGAGATCGTGCGAGGAGGAAATGAGAGCTTGTGGG